CTAAGCCCGACTTCGGATGTACACCCTAAACACCACGCACCTTGCATAAACTTCGAGCCCTATAAAACCCTTTTTATAAGGTCGGGGCCCGAAACTGCACATCCTAAACCCGAAGCCCTCAAATAGTCAAACCCATGATCCGACCCCTAAAGGCTAAGCCCTTTGGGTGTCGATAGCGGTAAACCACGGAGAGGATCTCGGGTTTATCGGCTTCATAGGGTTTATAGGGTTTATTGGGTTTCTAGGATTTCTAGGGTTGAGGGTTTGGGGGTTTACAGGCGAGTTTGGAGATTGAGAGCTTTCTGGGTTTAGGGGCTGATCTTGATTGGGAGCTACGTAGGCCCCACAGCCCACAACCCTGAACCCCACCACCCTAAACCTGTAAACCCTATAAACCCTATAAACCCTACAAACCCTATAAACCCTTTCAACCCTCTAAACCCAAAAAACCCTAAAACCCCTATAAACCCTATCAACCCTGCACATCCTTTAAACCCTGTAAACCCCCTAAATCCCCCCCAAAAACACCCCATAAACTGATTAAGTTTAAAAATCCTACAAACCCTAAAAACCCCCGAAATCCCCCCAAAAAAACCTATAACCCCCGATTAAGCCCCAAAAAACCCTATAAACCCTAAAAACACCCGAAATCCCCCCCAAAAGAACCTATAAACCCGATTAAGCCCCAAAAACCCTATAAACCCTAAAAACCCCCGAAATCCCACCCCAAAAAACCTATAAACCCAATTAAGCCCTAAAAAACCCTATAAACCCTAAAAACCCCCGAAACCCCCAAAAAAAACCTATAAACCCAATTAAGCCCTAAAAAACCCGATAAAGCCTAAACACCCTAAAAACCCCAAAAAACCTTAAACCCTATAAACCCCTCAAAACCTTCCAGGGTTTGGGTTCCTTGAAGAGACCGGCGAGCTGCCATCAGCCCCATGATGCTGGAGGCGCCGGGGCCGCCGTTCATCCAGATGAGGTTGGGTGTCACCTCAGGGGGTTAGTTGGGGTTTGGAGTTTAGGGTTTAGGGGGTTGGGGGGTTTTGGGGGTTTGGGGGGTCTGGGGGGTTTGGGGGGTTTGGGCGGTTTGGGGGGTTTGGGGGGTTTGGGGGTTTAAGGGATTTGCGGTTTCGGGGCTACCTCAGCTTCAGGCGCTTCTTGGCTTTTGTCTTGGGGCTTTCGGGTCTGGGGTTCAAGCACCTCAGCTTCGGGGTTTCTTGGGTCCCAAAGCCTAGCTGGGTGGGATGTAAACGGCTATATCATGCAATCACGGGGGTGATAAACTATGGCCTGCTGCTTTGGGAGGTGTTGATGTTGCCATTGCATCCAACAACAGCAATGGGATTCGGGTAAACCCAAAATAAACCCTACACCCTTTCAAACCTGTAAACCCTATCAACCCTTTAAACCCTATGACCCTATAAGCCCTAACCCCTAAGTTCAGGGCTTAGGGGGAGGGAAAAGCTCTATCGTCTCGGACAACTGAGGTTCCGTCCTGGGGTTTCGGGCGACTTGTTGGGGTTAGGGCTCGCATGTACTAGGGGTCTACTTTAGGGCCTATGGGGCGTGCAGGGTGAATTAGGGGCATGGTAGGGTTTAGGGTTTAAGAGAACTCGTTGCCAAATTGGGGGCCATGTTGGGGGAGCCCTTCAACCTCATGGGTAGCCTTGGAAGACTCTACTTTAAAGCACGCCCCTGTAGGCATTGTGGCAGATGAGGCGCTCCCGGCTGATTTCCTGATTCGGCTTCGATGAACCAGTAGAAGAGCTGTCTGAGGCAGATTGGGCTTAGGTTTAGGGAAGTTGAGGGTTTAGGTGTTAAGCCCACCCAAGCGGCACCTTCCACCCAACATCCGAACGGCTAGCAATTCAAACCCTTTCCCAAGTCCAAACCCTTAAGCCCTTGAGGTCCAGGCTCCCATGTTCTGCGTTTGTTTGGGGTTTAAGTTTGCAGGCTCTGAATTCGGGGTCCTAGGGGTTTAGGGTTTAAGCTTTAAGGTTGCGTGAGCTCGTGAAGGAACTTGACTCAAACAGGAATCTACTCTTTTCGGTCCCTTATGAAAGGTTTACTCTTGGGAGGTTTATGCAAGGCTTTCAGAATGTACCTGCACTGCTGTGAGCCTTAACCTCCTCCTAAACCCGAAACCCCCATACCCTATACCCTCAAAGCAACATAAATGGAACTGCCGTATGTCAACACGAGCTGCTCGTGTTCTGAAAAATGAGAGTCCTTTGGAAACCACCGTTTGACGAGGATGCCCAGGCCGTTCAACTTACTTATCAGGTTGCTTAAGCCTCTTGCTCGCAAGATATATCCGGGGGGTATGTCCAAACAAGTCAGCGCAGAAATGATGCCACGAAAGGCCTCAGAATGCTCCGGGGGCACAAAAAGTGAAACTAACTAAGGCTCTAAAAGCAAGACTTTTCGGTATTTTCCGGTCAACACATTCGGTCAAAACTCTCGGTCAAAACGTTTCGATCAATTAGGGTTCAGGGTTGAAAGACTGTAAAGTTCAAGGCTTCCGGGCGCTGGGCCCAACCCTGAGATACTCGACTGCGCACTTAGTCCTAGGCAAGTCCTCTTCACTTGAAGGTAATCCGACATTTGTCTATGCTTTCTCTCACTCCCCGACAGGGTTGAGTCGAACACTTGTTGCGTTCAGGCTTGTCGCCGCCCCAACCAGAAAAGAAAACGTGTCGTAACATGTTTAAACGAGACGGCCCTGCCCAAATCCCCCCATAAAATCAAAAACTGGAACTGGAGGTTGAAATCCCCCCGCTGTGGGCATCCTCCCAAAACCCAGCACTCACCAGACAATCAGTAGTCGCTCCATACCGACCAAAGCTAGCAGCGCTACGCAGCTAACATCCGTACAGCGCCCAAAACTGTTTCAGCTACACGCGCACGACCTACGAAAAGTACCAGGACGCGCCCGTGAAGACACTCCCAAGACTTCGCTAACCAAACACCAAGGCACCAACAAACTGAACAACTTCGCAAGCAGGACCCCAACCCTCGCCCCGCGGTCTCGACGGTACGAGACCGCGTGCCCTGCCCACCGGGCTGTACCACACCACCCTCCTCCAATCCAAAGGCTTGTTTTTCCGGCAGAAAGGCGCCGCAGCGCTTCCCTCCACCAAGGCTACCACTCCCTCCAGCACCCACACCCTTGCCACCCTTGCATTTGCCCTGGTCCCCGCAGAAGTAGGCCCGGATGTCGCTCTCATGGCCCAGACCTTGCGAACCGCGCCCCGCATCTCCTCCCGGCCCAGCAAGCTACGTGCCTGGAGACCCTCCGTCGACTGGCGACAAAGCATAGACAGGACCCAAGGCGTTTCAGCCGCCGCCGGGGGTTCTTTGTGGAAGCAGGCCTCCACTGCAAGGTTGCTGGCGCAGAGCTCCTGACACGCCTTGTGTCCCCAGCTGTCCGGCTGTCCAGGTGTCCGATGACCAGGTCAAAGAGTTGACACTTCCACGGCTTTGTCCGGTCTTGCCCCCCATCCCCACCTTTCCTTGTTGACAGCCGCGCCCTCCCGCCACACACGCTAGTTGTCCGCAACCTTCTCACGGAAGGCGCCCGCAACGAAGCAGACCACTCCCGGTCCTGCCCAACACCCTTGCCGTAAGGAAGGCAAGGACTTGTGTAGAGTGTAGGGCACCTTCAACATACTTGAGTCTGGTGTCTAGCTTTGCCACATCGTCGCCTCCCGCCATTACACTTTTCACGAGAGTGTTTGGAGCCGAAGGCTATACAGCAGTTGAGTATTTGGCACTGACTGCCAGCTTTGAAGAACTTTCGAACTGCGTTTCGTTTACACATGTGCACGTTTAACATGGTACTCAAACTCGTGAAGAGAGTGGAAAACTTCACTATGCCCGAAATCTCAGGTGCAAATGTGTCATTGCCAGGGAATTCGTTTGTTTCAAAACGATGATCAGCAGCAATGTGCAAACGTTTACAAGGAGGACCAGGCCAGATACCAGAACAAACGGAACACGTGAGAGCCCACAAAATGAGACGACAAAAACAACAACCCCAAATGCCGCGCAACCCGCAAAAATTCACTCCGACCAGCAGTATAGAGACCACAAAGCTCTCGAAAGCCCCCCAACTAGGTCGCGCGCTACGCCACTGGCGGTTCCGTGGCTCTTGCGTGTGATGTTCTCAAAACACAGGCTTTGGAAAATCCTAAGACGATTACTTCTTTGGAGAGGTTGGCTGTTTTACGGCTGATGAGTGGTTTTTCATGCGCTTTCACAAAACCATGCGCGCTTGTGACAGCGCGAAAAAAGCTAACTACACTGACTGATTTATTGCGGGCGGCGTGCCTGAGAAAACACTTGCTGGATTTGGTCAGTTATAGCAAGAAAAGTGTAACATTAGTTTTCTTTTCCTCGCTCGAACCTACATTTTTCCAAGCGCCACAATGGGGTATCAGAGGCTCTGCTTGCATTTCGCTTTATAGCGAAGACATGAAAACATACTGCCCAAACACATTCATGTAAACTGGAGTAATTGAAAGGACACGCGAATTTAGAACGCAACCCCCGTGCAGTAGGCATGTTCTCAAAAGACACGCGCTCTTGCGACATGCCGTCATGTGCCAGAAACGTCAAACTTCCTTGCATTGGCAAGAACACTGCAAATACCCGGGTGTTTGGGCCTGGTCACCGTAGGAACGGATGTTAACATCCCCACCCCCCTCCCCTCCCCCAATCAGAAGAACCCAGAAACACCCGGAAACAAGCAGGTTAATACTAGTGAACTAGTTCCCCAGCAAAGGCTCCGGTCTGCAAGAGCGTGTTGCAAAGCATAGCGAGGAAACGGCTTTGGCGTTCATGCCAGCCCCTTGTGCAAGTTCCAGTTTGGAACAACCAAAGAGAACCCTTGCGTTGCCCCTGTTTGTCCCACAGGCATGAGCACCATGCACTGTTCGCCACAGCCCTGTTGCTGAGGACGTATTCGTCCGAACAAAACTTCGAGTTGAAAGGGCCTATATGCCACGAGCATATGGTCCCATGAACGCATCCAGCAACTTGCGCGGGGCTCCGGGAGAGGCTGGAGATTGCAGCACCTGAACCCACCCATCGATCGCGTTGCTGCCGCGTTCAAGGTTCAAGTGATGGCCGGCCAATCCGGCGGCGCGCCGTGCCACCACCATCTGAAGTAAAATAGAGTATTCCAGCGAGCTGGGTGTTGCGAGTCTGGCCAAACACATCGGCGTCGTCTTGTCCGGGAGCTCCTGCTTGTGGGGCACACCGTCACGACAACGCCGGCAGTGGCTGTGACGCGCCAAGTCTTGTCCTGGAACTGCTGCCGATCCAGGGTATCGTTTCTGCGACGTCCTGTTGGCTCATACAAGCGGCCAAACCATCAAGGACACTCTCAAAAATTGCTCGCTCTAGAATCCAAGCGTTGTAAAACACCATCCAGCCCACAACCCAAGCTTCCAAGCCCGCTTGAAACAAAAGAGGCTGCCAAACGCTAAGGCTTTTCGTGGGAAATTCGGGAGTGACAGCCAGAAAAAGGAAACAGAAGGTACCGAATTTCCGAATATCTCCCCTTGTTCGAGAGTAAAAACTCGTAAGTTTGGCCTCCTCAAAGCACTTCAGCCCTGTCAGGGGCCACCACCCTAAACGCCCGCTTCGGAAAAAGATGCCTCGAGCCCCACAGTTGCTCAGGGCGTATAAGGGCTTAGGGATAGGGTTTAGAAGTTTAGAGTTCGGTTTGCTTAGAACATTTAATTTAAGGCTTGGGACGTTTAGGGCAGGTCCTAAACTCCAGGGGCCTGCAAAAACCTCCATCCTGAACATGAGCTGCGCCTGTCCGTCGTTTGATTCACGACGGCGAAGCCCGCATAGTGCTTGTTCCTGAGAAGCCAATGGTGTTTAGGCTGTAGGGTCTTACGTTGCACCCGGTCTCATATCGCATCCCGAGCGATGAACCTGAGTTTCCGGGTTTATTCAGCTTCCCGAGTTCCCGAGGTTGTTGGGTTGCCCGGAATGGTTTGACGTTGCTTGGGGTGATGTTCAGTGAGGAGGGCTATTGCCTGACCTTTTTTCAGCTCTGTAGGCTTTTCAGGGTGTTGCCTTCTTTAGAACGTGCGTTAAGGGTCTAGGGTTCTTCAATCTAGCTTACTACTGAGTCTTTGTCTGTACATCCATTTACATGCACCAGAAGCCCCAATGCAATACGACACACAAACCTCTCAACCCTAAACCCTCGACCCTAAATAAACCCAAAACGCTAAACCTAAAGCAAACCTGAGCCCCTGCTCGCACCCGAAAGCAGAATCTAGAAGCTCAGCAAAATAAATCTGAACACCCAACAGAAACACCCTAAACCCTGAAAGTCTAAACACACTCAATCACCGAAGACCCCCCTTCCCCAACAGAAACCCCACCCCCCCCTAGGAACTTAACCCGCCCTCCCCTCCTTCCCCTCCTTCCCCTCCTTCCCCTCCCTCCCCGCCTCCTCCCCATCGAAGAACGTGCGCGCACACACACACACAGACATCTACACCGCAACCCTAGGCCCTAAGCCAAAAGCCTACCTACGGCAACAACAAACCGACAAAAGAACAACATCTGAAAACTCGGAGCCGCAACCTAGTCAGGGGCGCAGGGGTTTTTTGGGGGTTCAGGGTTTAGGGTTTAGGGCCTCAGGAGGGTTAGGGGGGCTTTAGGGGTTTGAGCGCATTTTTTGTGTTGGGGGGGGGAGGGGGGGGGGGCATTGGCATTTTGGGAATAGGGGGTTTAGGGGGGTTGAGGGTGAGGGATACTGAGCCAGCGGCTTCAACACGCCGACCCCCGGAAGGCTTTTGACCTTCCATGAGTCGGGTTGCTTACGGTTGCTCTCTTCTTTTCCATGTGTTCTTACGAATGTTGTGTTTTGGGGTGTATAACTTGTTGGCCTTATCTACGTTTGCTATGAGTCGTGTTTGTTTTTAATTATTTTCTTTTTGGGGGGGGGGGGGGGGGGGGGGGGGGGGGGGTGGGGGGAGCTCATTCCTGGAAGTCTAGCCTGGGTTCCCTTGTTGCCATCAAACTTCACTCGGTGCCGCGCTCTCCCTGCTTTCCCATGAACGCTGCCTCATCGTCCACAGCCACGGCTTGAGCCAGCAGAGCCCAAGCAAGCAGCGCACGCGACATGGCTTCGTGAACGGAAGGGCAAGTCACAAAAGTCACCGAAAACCCCAGCAGCTACGCATTCCCCCGCGCCCTCTTTGTTGATGTCGCGCCTATGTGCGTGTGTAGGTATAAGAGATGTATAGACTTGCAGTGAAGCTCCAATGGCAGCGGAGAGGCATCGTCTACCGAGCCCGGAAGGGACTCCATGGCCTTGAAAAGAACAGTCCAAGTCCGCAGAGCAGGGGGCTAGGGATTATAGGGCTTAAGACTGTACAGCACTATGAACTCTAACTCTGAGCTGGCGCATACCTGTGTTGACCACGACGTTCGCGGCTGTCCGCGTGCATGCAGTTGCACGCTTCGAGTGAGCAAAATCATGAACTGCTAACCCTAAACCCTAAACCCTCGGCTGTCTTCCCCTTGACTCAGCACTTGTAGGAGGATCTTGTGGTCGAAGCTAGTCGCGCTCAACTTAGAGCTGCAAAAGACTGCACAGTTAAGGCAGCCCTGCTACATACTTGAACGCTACCCCCAACCTCCTCGCCTGCAGCCTACATCCCAAAGTCTAGCCCAACAAGACTGCCCTGAAGTGCATGGATAGTAGGTTTAGGTTTGGATGCAGGTTCCGGGGAAGAGCAGAAACCCTAAACCCTAAACCCTGAACCCTGAACCCTCATGAACCCCAAACCCGAAAGCCTGAAAAAAAATGATTCACGGGGCGCTTAACAGCCTGATGTAGCTCAGCGAGACGATGCATCCCAGGACGGCCGTCCAACCCTTTCCTGTCGTGGCGGAGGTGGTTTAGGGAATTTAGGGGTTGAGGGTTTAGGGACTCATCAGGGTTCGGAGCTTATAGGGTTTAGGATTACACTGATCAGGCTTCAGGGCGTCTAGGGTTTGTTCTCTTTCTGCTTGTCAGAGTAGGCCTGCTGTGGCCATTCATAGGTAAGCTGGTGATTCGGTTGACTTTGTTTCTGTGACCATGGCAACCCCTGAGCGATCTTCTTGAGACCCAGACAGCTGTTCTGCCTCCCCGAAACCCTAAACCCTGAACCCTAAACACACAGTTTACTCCTATGACAAGCACCGCAACTCGTACTTCAAGGTTTGCTTGTTTCGCTTTCCCGTTCCCTTTCCCGTTCCCATTCCCTTTACCTTTCCCTTTTCCGTTGGCTTTCCCTTTCCCTCCCCTTTGCCTTTCCTTTTCCCTCGCCTGGATAGACCCGAAACAAATGCTGCAGGGTTCAGGATACGCATCGCCCCCCGGAAAAAGTTAAAGGTTACCTGCCCCACTCTTCAGCTTCAGACACGAGTTTGTGGACATCCACTATCTAGAGCTTGACCACTCCGATGTGGCAAGCTGCGTCTTTGGTTTAGGGTTTAGGGTTTAGGGTTTAGGGTTTAGGGTTTAGGGTTTAGGGTTTACGGTTTGGTTTAGGGCTTTGTGTTTTGGGCTTTTGGGGGAACAGCCCTAACAGCCTCCCAAGCCTAAAGCACCGAGCCAAAACCCCCAGGGACCCTAAGCCGAAAACTCCAAATGCTACTACTTGAACTTTTATTGACCCTAATTGGACCCCAAGCCCTAAACCCTAAACCCTACACCCAACAAATTGAATCCCGACCGGCGCCTCCCAAGGCGAACCGGCGTTGCCCTTTGTAGTAGTCCGACATGAGCGCGGACCACGCAAAGGAGACCGGAATGCAAAAAACAAAACTGCAAGGGTGTAGGGCTGAGGGGCAACCTTAAACCCTCGAAACCCTTAAGCCCTGCACCCCTAACACTAAACTTCACTAAACCCCTAAACCCACTGATTTGTTCCAGATCTGTTTGGACTGGAAAACCGCTGCAACAGCCCAACAGCTCTCGGAATTGTGAGTCTGCACAGCTTGTGAAGGCAGTCACCCTGCACTCCGGGCTTTAGGGTTTAAGTTTAGGGGCACGGACTCTGGTACCTAGGCTTCCCCAAGCCTCCCTCTAAAGGGCCGCCCTGACATATTCCGAAAAAACACATCATGTCACATCCCGTGTTGCGCTCCCGTGGCCTAAACCTAAACCCCTAAACCCTGAAACCCTACAAACCTAAACCGGCCGAACACACATGGTACGTAGAGCAAAGCAGAGCGCAGCACAGAAGACCCTTAGTATACCCTAAACCCTAAGCCCCGAACCTCAAAACCCACCTTCTAGATGCGCGCTCGGGAGATCGGACAGCCAGGGTTATCAGCTCTTGGGGCTATGGGCTTTGGGTTGTTGTGGTTTAGGTTTTGGGTTTAGGGTTTAGGATTTAGCTTAGGGTTTAGGGTTTAGGGCTTAGGGCTTAGGGCTGGACCTGCATACTTTTTTTTGGGGGGGGAGGGGGGGGGGGTACAGCGGAGAGATGGGGCTCCTTGCCTTGGATTCTGGGACAAAACCCTGAGCCCTAAACACTATACCCACCACCCCCCCAAAGTGAAAACCCTAACCCTAAACCCAAAACCCAAACACACAAACACCTAGGCCCTAAACTCTACATCACCCCCCCAAAAAAAAACGACCCAGAGCCTTGGAAATCCAAGCCCTGGACCCCCACCTCCTACCACCTGAGCCTTCGACCCAATGTCCTTCAACCCAACACCCCGAAACCCCAAAAGGTTTAGGGGCTCTAGGTTCAGGGTTTAGGGTAGTTTAGGGTTTAGGGTTTAGGTTCTACACGCTCTACAGCCTAGGCCCTTCTAAGCCAAGTGTGCAAAATAAGCTACGCACTCCCCCCCCCCCCCCCCCCTCTTTTCAGCTCCGATCATCGGCGCGAGCGCTCGCGCGGGCATGGAGCGTTGAAGCGAACCCTGCCAGGGGTTGGAGGTTGGGCCTTTAGGGGTAGTTTGCGATGTTCCCCTTTTTTACTAGCAGTACTTATGAGGGATTATCGAACCCCCTATTCTAATCCCTATTAAGGACTGCTAGTAGAAGGGGGAACATGTCAAGGGGTACTGCTAAAGGCATTTAGGGTTTTAGGGTCGTGGGGTTCAGAGTTATATGGGTGATGCTATCGACCCCCTCCCCCCACTACGAGCATTCATGGACTAGATCTGCCCCCCGAAAGCCTAAAACCCAAAGCTCTTTAAGTCATATGGTCACTGCTCGAACTTACAATCCCTTTTGGGGTTACGATTATCAGGCGGCCCCGAAAATTTAGGGTGCCCCACAAGGGACCATAATTTCGAACTGACCATAGAGGATTCCCTTATAACAAGGAGCTCAATCAGGTACCCCAAATGTCGGAACCCTAAACCTAAACCTAAACCCTAAACCCTAAAACCCTCCATGCCCCTAATTTCGGAAACCCCGTGAAGGGCTTGGGAACCCGCACACCTGGACAACTCTGGCATGGCCAAGGGTTTAGAGTTCAGGGTTTAAGGCTGAGGCATGCAGACAACTTGAGACAACGGTCTTGAGAGCGGTTTAGGCTTAGAGTTTGGAGGTCGTGGAAGTCGTGGCACTGCCTTAGGGTTTAGGGTTTAGGGTTTAGGGTTTAGGGTCTAGGGTTTAGGGTGCCTCATGTTGAATGTCGCACATCGGGCCCAGTGTGGCGCAAGGCGCGGACGAGCCACCTCGAGTCAGGCACTAGCCACTAGGCCACCAGTTCATGGGCTCAGGGTTTAGGTTCCCATAGATAGGTGTGAGGCCCATCTTGACCCTTCAAAGCATCCGGGAAGTCTCTCCATTTGTAGATAACCGCAGTAATAGCAGGTGCACGGGCAACTCTTGTGGGTAATTTGGGACGGGGGTTGTAGGTTGTAGGTAGAAGGGCTTTGTGGCAATTCATGGTGGGTAATCTGGGTCCCCAAGGTTTAGGGTTTCGCACTTTTAGGGTTTATAGCTTGGGGCTTCATCGGACTTTATTGGTACCGATTTCTATCGGTTCTAAACCCTAGGCCGGAAACCCTAAACATTCCTGAGCCCTAAGCCCTAAACCGTTACACCCTAAACCCACCAAAAAATATCCTGAAGCGTCCTCCAACCAAAAGCCCGGAAGCCCGCGATGTCCAGCAGGGCCATGGAGGGCATGGGGTTTAGGCCGGTCTGAACATGGATTCGGATGTCAGCCAGATTCCCTACCACGGATGAAAGTGCCCACCTTTACCCCCCCCCCCCCCCCCCCCCCCCAAAACAAAAACAAAAAACTTATCTTCAGGTCTCGAGCATAGGGTCACCATAGTGGTGTGTAGGGGGCTGGCGCGGCTAGGAGGATCCTAGAACCTGCAGAAAAGCAAGCCACACTTTGAAGTCCGCTGGGTCGATCGTGATCACGTCAGTGCCTGAAGGGGCTGGTAGGGCTTGGAATTCAAAACCCTAGTCCCTTATTTGGGGGGGGGTCTCTCTACCGGCTAAGACAAGACAGCCCTTGGGCTCCCAAACCCTGAAGATACCTGAGCAGCCTTAGACACCAGATGTCTTTAGACCGCCCACCGCCAAGCCCGAACTCTCCTACATCCCAAACTCTGAAACCTCACAGCCACCAACCCCAAAGCCCTCAACCCTAAATCCTCAACCCAAGAACCCTCCACTTTAAACCCTCAACCCACAACCCCACACCCTCAACCCACTCACACAAGAATTCCAGCAAGACATCCCAGTTTCCCTCAATTTAGGTACCCTACATTAACCCCATAAACTCTATAGAAACACTGAAAAAAACATGTATACCACATGAACCCTGTAAACCCTATAAACTCTATGAATCAAAAACTCTATAAACCCTGAAAAAGCCTGTTAACCCTATAAAACCCCTGTAACCCCTATAACCCCTACAAACCCTGTAAACTCTGAAAAAGCCCAAAAAACATTGCAAACATTGCAAACATTGTAGACATTGTAAACATGATAAGCATTTTATAAACCCCAGACAAGCCCCATCAAGACCCTATGTAAACCCTGGAAAAAGCTATACACCCTGTAACACTATGAACCCTGAAAAGCCCTCTAAGTCCTGTAAACCCAAAGCCCCTTGGCTCCTCTTCCTTCTTTGCCAGGAATGAGACAG